CTCTACATATCTCATTTTATCTTGTGAATTGGTTCTTCATTCAGAGTTTTGATGGACCTTTTATGATTCTGCTTCTTGGTTCTTTGAGACAATCTTCAAAATCACATGTATATTAGGTTTTTTGCCAATTTTTCAAGGCTAATTCCTTCGCTTACTGCACAACTGTCTATATTTGTTTTGGAGATGACCTCTTAAACTCTTTGATTCCTGAATTTAGCTGGGAATTGGTTTTACAGGAAAAGGATTTTCCAGATGATTAATGACGTCCCAACTGTATTTGAAGTTGTGATAGGAACTGTTAAACAGGTAAAGGACCAAGCTACTGCTCCCAATAACAATGGCAAGAATAAATCTAGTGGAAGAATGGTAAGTGCTGTTCTATATAACCTAGTTTTCAAAATTTTATTCACATGGTTTGCTTATGCATGGTATGTTTTTGCATCTTTTAGCAATCTCGGTAATCTGAACAGTTGAAGTTTCTAGCTGATCATAATGAAGGTATCGAGACTGTCACTTTGAAAAATGCTCCAAAAAATCACTGCGCATAAGTCGTAACGAACAATTGTAAAAAATGTATTATATTTTGAATATTATCTTTATTGTTTAAAATTTTTTTTTAGTCATTATGTCTCGGCCCCCTGAAGAATAATCGTGGGTCCACCCCTGTGTACCTAAAATGATTATAGTTTCACGGTAAACGAGTAAGTTTAGCTTTGTCATACAACACGACGTTTCTCGTTGTATGTATTGCCCTGATACATTGTTAAATGTCAATTTGGGACGACGGATGTGAATTTGTGATAAATTGAAATGTGTATTTTAATTTATTGGTTTTGATTAGATCAGAATAATAATTATCCAAAGGCATGCTTGGGAGTTTTGACGTACCAATTATTAGCATTTTTTAAAGTATCGATTTTGTGCGTTTTATGAATAAATCAATTTTGAGTAGTTTTAATAACGATTTTTAAAACTGTTTAATCTATACTTAGGAGTTTATATCTATCAATTCTGAAAGATTTTTAAAAGACTAAAATTAATTATATGTCCCTTATTAAAATTTTTAATTTCTAACTTCTTATATGAATTTTTTTTTTTACTAATAATTACTTATAGATAGTTTTTTTTTACATATAAATTAATATTTAAGTTAAAAAATTAAATGAAGTTATATGTTTATTTAAAATTTTAAGTTATACTTTCTACTTATAAATAAATTTTACAATTATAAATAAATTTTATACTTTAAGAATCTGCTTGAGCCCCCTCCCCCTTTTTATTTTTGTCAAAAATACATTTTGAAGTAGTGATTTTATAAAGAATGTGTGGTTAAAAAATACGAATTTTTTTTGAATTTGAGTATAATATTATTTTATTGAAAAATGTGTGGTTGAAAATAAGAGAGAAAAATTTATTTTGAAAATAATGTGGAACAATGGCTAAATAATTTTAAGTGAATTTTTTTTACTCATGAGTAATTTTTTATATTTTATACGTGAATTTTTGCCTTATAAGTAGTATTTTTATTTTATAAATAAATTTTTTACATAAAAGCAATTTTTTACTTATAAGCAAATTTTCAATTATAATGTAATTTTTTATCTTTTAATTAATATTTTGCTTATAAGTATTTTTTTAATTATAATATAATATTTTGCTTATAAATAATTTTTTAGTAATATACTTTTATTTATAAGTTAATTTTTTTTTAAAAAATATGTTGATTGAAAATAATTACTTTATTGGAGGTAAAATTGCAAAAGAATACGAGGAACGGTCAAACTTGTCGATTTGATTTGTTGAGAAAATCGATCAAAATTATATCAAACTGATTTTCAATAATTTTTAAATCATCTAAAATCGATATAAAAAAAATTAACTAGCATCAATTTTTTCAACTCATTCTATTCAAACTCGGTCAAAATTGGTGGAGAAAAATTCCAAAGCATGCCCTAAAACAAATAATCAAGCGACTTTCACACATTTCCGGTTCTTTCCAATTAATGTTTCGGTGTGTGAAATTGACGAGTAAAATCATGCCCTTTATTCCCCATGAATCAGCGGCCCAAACTCAGATCGCCACCACCTTCCTCCGTCGCATCGTCCTCCCCTACTACACCAACCTCACCAAATCTGAACTGGGGCAAAGCTAAAACACTTCTCAAAATGCCCCGGAAATCTTTCATAAAACCCACTCTTATCCTAGCCTCCCTTCTCACCATCTTTGCCCTCTACACATTCCTCTTCTACACTCCTCCCAATTACAACAATATTAATAATTCTAATTTACTTACTTTTTCTAGTAAATTTGACGCAGGGATTGATAATTCTAACGTCAATAAGGTGAAAATATATATGTATGACTTGCCGAGGATATTTACTTACGGGGTGATTGAGAACTATGCGGCGGCGCGTGGAGGAGTGCCGGTGGGCGATGATGCGCTGTTGAAGTACCCGGGGAACCAGCACTCAGCTGAGTGGTACTTGTTCTCTGATTTGAATCGGCCAAGCGAGGACCGTATCGAGTCGGCTGTGATTCGGGTCATGGACCCCGAGGATGCAGACCTTTTCTACGTGCCCTTTTTCTCGTCGCTGAGCCTCGTGGTCAATCCGATCCGACCCGCTAATGCAAAGGACCCTGCGGATAGACCTAGGTACAATGATGAGCAAATGCAGGTATGGCTCACCTTTTGAATTTCGAGCTTCAAAGATTGCCAGTTTCGAATTCTTGGTATTTTTTGGATCTTCAACTTGGATAATAGTACAAAATTATTTGTTGTACTCGTACTTCAATACTTGTACATTGCCAGAGAGTATTCTTGTAAGCAAGGCACAGCAAGCAAATGAAGTATGAAGTAAAACATAACATAGGGTGAATTGTGCATACGTTCTGCTCTATCCATGTGTTGCAAAAAGATGTTCTCTTATATTGTTGGCAATTTCTGATGCAGGAGGGTTTGATGGAGTGGTTGGAGGAGCAGGAGTACTGGAAGAGGAATAATGGGTGGGATCATGTATTCATATGTCAGGATCCCAATGCTTTATACAAGATTATTGATAGGGTGAGGAACGGGGTGCTCTTGGTTTCAGATTTTGGGAGGTTGGGTCGCAATCAGGCATCCCTCATTAAGGATGTGATCTTGCCATATTCACATCGCATTAATACCTACAATGGGGATGTAGGGGTTGGGAATCGCAAGTCCCTGCTGTTCTTTATGGGGAATCGATATAGAAAAGAGGTAATAATCTTTTAGCAATTAATATCATTTTCCTTCTCCAGCAGTATATGTGCGTTTGTTTATTTTGGTGATGAGATTATCAGTTAGAAATTCTGATAGACTCTTGCAACTTGTGAAATTCTGTATCCATGGATCATTATCCACTTACATTTACTGATTGTTCATGTAACAAATAATAAGGTACAGAGACCACTTCTTTAACTTCTAGCTTTTAGGAATATGGACCAAATCTTTAGCATCAAGTCTGGTGAACTAAATATTCTTGGTTCCATGCATTAGTATGGGAAGATTCTATGTGGATACAAAATTGTGGGAAGTAAATTTGATATTCTGATTTTAGTATAAAAAAAATTGAAAAAATACTTGACCTGTTTTTAATAATGTTATGTGTTAAACATTGATAGTTTGATATCTGTTGGCCAGGGTTGATCAATTAAATCTTTCTCATAATCGGTAGGCAGTTTGGTTGTCAGGTTCAAAGTAAAATTTTGCACTTTTAGTTTTTACCTCAAGGCTTGAGCTATTCAGTGAACTTAATTGCTACCGTCAATAGATGACTTAGCAGTCTGTAGAGTTACAGAATCAAGTATACATAATAATCAAGTCCAATCAGATTCTTGATTTGGCTTTTCTGCTTTATCTACCATCTATAGTCTCGTGTTTTCTTTTTAGAAAATTTTGATATCTTTGCACTGAGGAAAGATTTTAATACCCTCTTAAGATGGCTTATCCATGGTTTCATTTTTATCTAGGGAGTTTCATCGGGACTAACTATGTCCTAGGAACTCAAATCTGGCAGCATATGGTGACCACTCATGAATCTCCTTGTGCATCATTAGTAAGATAATAGTTGAAGCTGCTAAATTGTTAATGAGTGAACAAAGTTCTGGAACTTGCATCTGAACAAAATGGGAAGGGGTTTTTGTGCATGCACTAAAGAACTCTGAGAAAAGCAAGTTTAAAGGAAGAAATTTTGGAGTAATGCGTGTTCCTTTGAGGCTTTGACAATACCCTTCAACTCAAACGAGTCCTCAATTGATTTTATCCTAGATTATTATTATATTAGCTTTATATCTGATATTTTCAAGTAAATTTGGTTTAGGGCTTGTTTTGTAATTATAAAAATCTGTTCTGAGAAACTATGGAAGATGTTTTCTTTACATCAGGGTGGTCAAATCATGTCTTCCTAGATCTAAAGAGACTAGTGTTAGTTTATTAAAGAATTTGATGAGTTCTCAAATTAGATTGGAATATTGTGAGTTGTTGTGTCCTTGGAGTGTATATAAAGGATTGTAATGTCTCCTATTTATTAGAGAGAGTGCGATTATGAGAATTTGAGATTACGAACCCTTGGTTTGGTTAGGCACTTTTTTTATTCGCTGCTACTTTTCTAAATTCTTTTATTTGGAATATAATCTGATCTCCAGCCTTTTCCCTCGCTGGAATAATTTGTTTTCCAAATCAATAAGGAATTGGGGATTTCCTAAGGTTGTGATACATCAGGTTCATATCTCATGCCCATGAAATTTTGAGGATATGAAACAAGAATTTATCATATTGAGTGATTTTTCTTGTAAAAGTTATTTTTTTTTTCTTCCTTTCCCAGACTTGTAAGTAAAGTAGTGATAAGATTTTTGAGGATTTTTTTCATATTTATTGGTCCATTTGCTTGTTCGACTGTGCGTGACATTATGGCTGCTTATATTTGCACCCAAGTACAAACTTATTTTATTTGTTTTATTGGAATGCAGGGTGGGAAGATCCGCGACTTGCTTTTCCAAGTTCTTGAGAAGGAGAAGGATGTTATTATAAAACATGGTGCGCAGTCTAGGGAGAGTCGACGTGCGGCAACACGAGGAATGCACACGTCAAAATTCTGTTTACATCCAGCTGGTGATACTCCATCAGCTTGTCGACTTTTTGATGCTATTGTCAGCTTGTGCATTCCTGTTATTGTAAGCGATTACATTGAGTTGCCTTTTGAAGATGTTATAAACTACAGAAATATTGCTGTTTTCGTGGATACCGACACAGCTGTTAAGCCTGGATACTTGGTTAAATCCCTTAGAAGGGTGAGCACAGAGAGGATTCTGGAATTCCAAAAAGAGTTGAAAGAGGTATTTCCCTATACCCTATAGTTTCTCCCATCATATCTAGATTTTGCTCTTCTTCAATATGTAATCAAAGGTATTCTGACAAATTGCAGTTTAATTTACACACAACTAGTCTTGTAAGCCGGTATATGGTTTTAATTTCTGCGTATAATCATAACTAACATTTAGCCCATGTTTGTCTCCCTTTAAAACAAAATTCTTTAATTCTTATACTCATTTTCAACCATACATTTACATAATAAAATATTTTGCACGTAAACTCAAAACTGTTCATACTTTTTAACCACACATTTTCCAAAAAAACATTATTCAAAACATAATTTTTTTCTCAATAATGGCCATCAAACAGGGGCTTAGTAAGCCCTGGAGAGTGGAGTGGATGTGTGCATGTCTAATTCTAGGAGCCATTGCCTGGAACTTCATTCTGATTGTACCACAGAATATAATTGTTGACAGCCAATTTTATCCTTGTCAGGAATTGAGATACCCAAATTTTGTATTTGATACAGGTAAAACGATACTTTGAGTACGAGGATCCAAATGGAACTGTGAAAGAAATCTGGCACCAAGTCTCTTCGAAGCTACCTCTTATCAAGCTCATGACCAATCGTGACAAAAGACTTGTGGTGCGGCAGGAGTTGGCTGAACCAGATTGCTCATGTCTTTGCTCGAACCAGTCAGGGGTTCATGCTTTACTGTGATTTCATTGAATGCTATGCTCCAACATCATTTTTTACCACTGTAAATCTCAGATTTTTTTTGCCACTTTTGTTTTAGATTTTATGGAATTAATTTTTGTACCAAATTCCTCGGAGGAAATCGCCCATTCCTCGAATCTGGAGATGGGTTGATCAAGGTACAAAATGTGCAGCAGGGGATTCAAGCAACTACAGGCCAATGAAAACTAATATATGTACCTGCGGCATTGAAGAGGATGAAGAGAGAAAAAACAGTGCTATTGGGAATGGAATTCAAGGCTTAGATTAAACCCAATGCTCGTGCAATTGACGGGCCACTGCTTCAATAAATGCACAATATCCTCTGTTCAATTTACAGAATTCAGAGGGAAATTGTAACAAAGAACAATTAGAAGGTAGATAGAGAGGAGTACATAGAGGGAAGCAGTGGAAAATAGAGTACATTGTATTCGGGTTGTCTTCTCTACTGAATTCACACCAACGTTATGGAAGTTCTTGGATCGTGTAAAACAAGATTAGTACCAAAGGTTGCTCCTTCTATCAAAAATGGAAAATTGGAGAAGTTCCTGGATTGTGTAAAATAAGAGTAGTACCAAAGGCAGCACCTTCTATCAAAAATGGAAAATTGGCTATGGAGATTCCGCGCGGTCAGAAATTAATACAGACACAAAGGTTTTCGACAGGAAAGTCCCTTCGATCCAATCCATTCTTGGTCAAATAAAAAGGATTCACAGACCAAAAGTTGCTAGATATAGTTATTTCACATAGATATACAGTAGTCGAATGAAGGATATGGGTAATAAAAGTTTGTTTGGGAGAAATTTTTTAAAGTAATAAATGAGTTATTTGAAAAATATATGTTTAAAAAGTAGGAAAAAATAATAGATTTCATAAAATGTTTGTTGAAAATCTTTTTTAAAACAATTATCTGCAAATCAAGGCCTAACCAACTCGTAGAATAACATTGACTGAAAATTGCAATGAGAACCCAAAACTTTTTAAAAGTACAAATAAGTCCTGAACCTTTTTGTTTTGCACTACCACCCCCAAAATCTTTATAAAAATATGCAAAACAAGGATCTTTATATTGTTATCATCTGAAGTTTGTTAAATTGGCGTGTGTTGTGTCCCTGTCTAATTTTCAACGAGCAAATGAGTACTTTCTTCAAAAACACAGCAAATTTTGATTAAAAAAAAAAATTCGCCCTTGTTAAATTAAAATTTATTTTTATCTCTTTTTATCAATCACATATTTGCCAATAAAATAATATTATGCATAAATTTTTAAATAAAAATTCCATCCTTTTTAACTATACATTTACAAAAAAATTATTATTCCTCTGATTATAATTTGAAATAATGAATCTCAAACATGTGAATGTGTGGTTGAAATGTTGACAATACAGTTGAAAAATTGATAAAATTTTATTTATCAAAAAAGTCTTAGAATAATAAAAAATAATTCAGAAAAAACAAAAAACAAGAACAAATGAAACTATAATTAAGAAAAAAATGAAAATTATTTAGTTTCTCCTCGTGCACCACGCCGAACTCATGGCAACACCCACCTCGCTCGATACCAAATTCCCATTGGGATTAGGGTTGAGGTGGATGTTAGATTGGGGAAATTAAGGAATTTTTTTTTTCCTGAATCATTTTCCAATTTTTTTCAATATTATTTACTTATTTATTTTTTCATTAATTTTTAAGTGGAAAAATATGGATAAACCTTTTTTCCCTTATAATATTTGGACAAGTGCATTTACTAAAAGGGATTACCATCTGAAAATCGTATGGTTTATCAATCTTTTGGAGCAATGGTTCCAAAAGTATTTCTACTTTTTGAAAAGGTTTGGACCCCCATCGCATATGTTAATTGAGACAAACAAATCATAAATGTGGTTCAGTTAAATGTTTTTGATAAGTAGTAACTCTATAATTTAGGTTTGACTTTTGAAAAATAGACTGACAAATTAATTGTGAGAGTCTATTGTACATGAAGAGAATATTCTAATTGATAGATGCATTTTTCTTATTAGGAAGCTAATTGCCTCAAATTTACTCTGCAACAGATTATAGCACCTCAACTAAATCATGGAGGGTCGATTTCTACATTACACTTCGGATGAAGTCATACATCACTTCGCCTACCTCAATGTATAACATCGATTAGGCTAGGTAGGATGTGATGTGGAGTGTGGACATAATTAAGTTTGCTAGCTAGCTCACGTAACGATGCTTGGAGCCTTGTCAGGAGAGACGTAATAATTACTATCCAAAAATCAATAGTTTATCAGACTTTTGGAACAATGGTGCTAAAAATAAAAGATTTGAGACTTATTTATACTTTTTGAAAAGGTTTGGAACCCCACTGCATATGTTAAATGAGACAAACAAATCCTCTCATGTATGTGGTTAGATTTGTGATTAGACTTCATAAGCAAGAAGTGAGGGAAAAAAATGGCAAATCTTGTTCTGAAATTCCCCAACAACTTGAAGAGCTTCTCTGTATCAGCTTCTGCTTCCTCTAATGGTCAATTTCTGTTCACATATGTACAATTTTACATTTACATGCCTGTATGTTGTATGCTCGTAGTTCCGATACTACATATCCATGCCCTCGCGGTGTTTGCTGAAAGTCCTGCGTATCTTCTTCGCTAAAGTAGGGATGGAATTCGTTAATTTTAGGTAAGTTTTGATGTTTTCTATTTACTTGATTTCTTGGTTCTAGGATCTCCTCCTGGCGTGCATCAATCTAAAGGACCGGTGATTCTTGAACTTCCCCTCGATAGAATTCGGAGACCCCTTATGCGTACAAGAGCTAATGATCCCCAGAAGGTGAAGGAACTTATGGAGAGTATCAGTGAGATTGGGCTCCAAGTACCAGTAAGCTAACATTTCCCAGTTGTTTAATTTCATATTGCCATATGAAATGTTTAATTGATTATCTTACTTCTATTGCGTCTTTGGAAGAAAGATTCTTGTCTACAAGGAATTGGAACTATAAAATTCTATCTCAATGAAAATTCACCAGCCTCAAAAACATCATAGTGTCGTCAGGTAAAACTTTGTGGAGCATCCCATAAATAAGAATAATCCAACCAATTTTCGCAAACTGCTATGAAATGTGATGGCAGCAAAACTTGGAGTTCTCTAATTTGATCTCACAACATTGATGTATTTTATAACCTTGAATAATCTTGATGTGAATTTTCATTCAAAAAGAACCTCCTCAACTAGTTTGATTTCTTTGTTGCCAACCATGAATTATTTTCGATCCCTTCTTCGAAATCTTGTTATCTTCACCATTAACTTCTAAATCTGTTTATTTGTTTCATCATTCCTTCCATGGATTGGCAACTTGGCTGCAATATAACAGTAAGAGCATCTCCAACAGACTCTTTAAATATGAGATGCTCTCTATTTTAAAGAGTCAACATTTAAAGTCATGCTTTAAGAGACTCTTTAAATTAATATTTTAATTTAGAGAGTGAGTTTGGCTTTCCGAATTTAGAGACTCAAAACTCACTCTTTATAATTAAATGCATTCAAAGTGTTTCAATTTTCAATGTAGGAAAACAATAAAAACAATAAAATAATATAAAGAAAACCTAATTAAAATAAAAGATAAAGAAAAATAATAAATAATTTTTGGGAGTAGTAAAATTAAGTGTTAAATATAAATAGCTTGTTGGAGTACTTCAAAACTTTAACTCTCTAAATTTATAAATGCTCTCCAAATGATAAAATATACTCTTTAAAAACAGAGTGTATTGAAAATGTTGTAACTCCGAGCTCCCTTTTAAAAAACCACATCCCTTCTTAAAAGCCTATTTCAGCCCATGCTAGGAACTCTGCATTGTCAATAGTTCTATCACTGAAATGAGTTGATGAACCTCAAGATTTTTCATCTCTCTCTCTCTCTCTCTCTCTCTCTCTCTCTCAGACATTTGCTCTTCTACATGGGATATTTAATATTATCTCATGCCTATTTATGTATATGATGCAGATTGACGTGCTGGATGTTGATGGCGAATACTATGGTATGTAGGCCGCCCTATATATTTTTGAATACCTATATTTTGATTGTTCTGTTAGATAATGCCACGTCCTTATTCCTCTTTCACTTTGAGTTCACTATTGTGTTAAGGTTTTTCGGGTTGTCACCGTTATGAGGCTCACCAGAAGCTAGGACTCCCAACTATCCGTTGCAAAGTTCGTCGGGGGACAAAAGAAACTTTGAGGTTCTTCCCCTCTGAATCTCCCTTTTCATATTTGTGTCATCATGATTTCAAGTTATTGTTTAATTATGTAGTTTATCCGAGTTAGAATGTATATACACATAACAAGATGTTGTGCTTCATATCTATCATGCAGGCATCACCTACGGTGAGTCTTGTGAATATGCCCAGATCGCTACATCAAGAAGAATAAGCAGCTCCATTGCTCGTTGATCTTTGTTGTAAATGCAAAGCAGCTTGGCGGCTGGGTTTCTTGAAAAAATACATTGTTTAAATATGTGAAAAATGGCTTATACGTTTAACATATTAAAGAGCCAAGAGCCATACATACTGGTTTATGTACTAGTGAAATGGAAAATTTCTCGTGCATTTGTAATTGTTCTTGAATTTTTCTACAAATTATAACTTTTATATCTAACTATCCACACTACCGAATACTGGTAAATAAATTTTTATGGAGTACTCAAAACAAAGATGAGAGTATAAATTATGCATTTGGACAATTTTATATCATTGTTTCTTCAATTTATAACATTTTCCAAATTAATCAAATCATGAAACAAAAAATGTCTTGAGGCATCCAAGTGAACAGTTAATCTACAGAATAGCCATAAATGACGTGTAGTTGTATTCCTCCTCTGTTATGAATCCGATAATTCTGATAATTGCATGTTAGTGTTCAATTACAGCACGTGCTTTCCATACATGTTTTCAACGAACAATTAGACCTTAGGTAGTCTGCATGAAAAATCATTTCAAGTATCCGGCTCCTAGAAAAAGCTAAGAAAATCTGAACGAAAGCATTCCTGAGTCGAGGCTGATACAGCACTCAACACTCATATCCCAGAAGCAGGCTGTAGTCTGACCTTCTCAAGTTTCAGAGGTGTGCAACTAGTGTTTGATATTGTAAAATCTTCGAAGGGCCCATTCACTAACAAACACGCTTTAGTGAATTCAAACAAGCTCAGTCTGCCTTTTACAGGTCTTCATTGTTGGGTTCTCTTACCTTATCCTTTTAAGGTGTTATGCCAGGAATTTGAGGAACAGGCGGCTTAGGTTTTTTGGTTTTCTCCACCAATATGGCTTCAGTAGTCAGGATCACACCAGCAACCGAGACAGCATTCTGAATTGCACACCTTAAAACCCGTGAAGGATCAATAACACCGGCAGCCATCAAATCTTCATATCTCCCAGTCATTGCATTGTACCCAATATTCCAATCAGAAGATAGAATCTTTTCCACAACCACAGCACCATCCACCCCTGCATTAGCTGCAATCAATCTAGCTGGTGCTAGAAGAGCCTGAAAGTCGTTGACAAATACGAGCTCTAAATTATAATCCAAAAGTTTCGAATTGGACACAGGATCTACCTTATGACCATAAATTTAGAGAAATTGCTATTGGAGGTAAACCATCACAAGTACGAATATTGATGCAAAGGGGTTACTTACACACATTTGTACTATGCATACAAACTTTTAAGTTCAGAATAACAAAGGGATAACTTAACCCTACTGATACAAAGGGATTACTTAACCAAACACATATATAGATACAAAGGGTTACTAAACCCAACACACATATTTGATCTAAGCATACAACTCGAAGTTAAGAATAGCAAAGGGATTACTTAACCCGATAACTACTGTAGAACTCTGTTTTCCTCCTTCGAGCAAAACTATAAATTTCACAATTACCGTAGGCCTCAATGCAAATGTATAGTTTTCTTAACTTCCCTTGCCTCATTTCTACTATAAAATTATTGAGAAGTACTGAAGGTAGTTATAAAAAAGGGTATGAACTCAAGAACTAAATCAGCACTGTTTAGCTTCGACTAAGTTAATTTAACAGCCAACAATGTTCTGGAAAACCACATATGGATAGGCATGATGGCAAGAAGGAAAGGACAAGTAACATACCATTGTTACAATGTCAGCTCCAATCTGCTCATCCGGATCTTGAAATAATTTCTTTATGATGGGTATTTGTTTTGAGAGATGTATATAGGTGGCCCCACCACCAGGTACCACACCTTCATCCATGGCAGCAAAAGTGGCATGTTTTGCATCCTCAATTCTTAGCTTTCGATCTTCAAGTTCAACCTCAGTGTGTGCTCCTACCCTAATTACAGCAACTCCACCACAAAGCTTTGCAATTCTTTCAGAAAGCTTTTCCACCATATACTTATTATCGGTTTCAGCAAGATCTTTCTTTATCTGCATAATCCTTGCTTGTATTTCAGCTTTAGTAGAAGGGTCAGCAACAATAGTTGTAGAATTGTTTGTTACAGTTACTTTTCGTGCAATACCAAGCTGATCAGAAGTTACACTCTCAAGAGTCAGGCCCATATCTCCAGAGATAAAATCAGCACCTGATTACAATAATGTTGATCTAATTAGTGAAACACCATTGAAACTTGAAGAATGCATTGGTGCAAGCACAATCAAAATTTACAGAAAGTCTTGGCAGCATAGAGTTGAACTTTGAGTCGCCTTGAAATGCTTCAAGAGCTCAAAATGATACAGAAGTTTCCTTAGCAACTACCTACTCATATATTAAGACTCTGAATCAACTCAGTGTTTCCAAAAGCGACCAAGGATTACACCTTGATGTGAGCCTCATGAAAGGCTTTCTGATGGGGATCCTAGAATATATATTATTTGGAAGACTTTCCCAATTGTATACATAATTAATATTTTAATATTTGTTTTTTACATAAAATTTCTAGATTCTCTAGGATTTTATGGATGTTTCCTACTTAGAATGTGATCTTTGAAATCCTATTATACAATTAATATTTTAATAGTTGTTTTTTACATAAAATTTATAGATTCTCCAGGATTTTATAGATGTTTCCTACTTAGAATGTGATCTTTGAAATCCTATATAAAGGGGGGACTTGTGCATTGTAATAGATGCTACTTTGATATGAATAAAAAATGATATTTTCTCCCCCAAATTCCTCTCTAGTCTCTCTTCCTCTTTCTTCCCCGATTTCGTTCATGTTCTATATTGTGATCTATGTTACTTTCATTGGAAACCTCAAAGGTTATGTTTTCAAGGTTCTTTGTTGACGCTTACACCTTCACTTACTGAGGCCCATGACTGCACAGCTACACCTCAAAGAGGTTGTGGCATGCCTTCTTAGTCTTGGCCCTTTTTTTCAGTCTCAGCCTTTTGGGCTGGTTTTTCATAGCCTAGAAGGCTAGAATCTTGGCTTTTTAATTTATTTTAGACACATTTAGTCTTGACCTATAAAAGTAAAAAGAAAATAAATGGAGATTGAAGTGTAGAGCTTATGTAATTAAAGCCTGATGTCCCCTATTCCTGCACCTTTTCCTCAGCAGACAATGCAGATGGTTTTTGTTATGAGATTACATCTATGTTAAATTATTATTTTCTATGTTGTGGATCCATTTATGCTTCTAGTTGCAAATTATAGTTGTAAATTTATTGAAATGTTTTATTTTGAATATTTTAGATGGTTTCTGTTTCATTACTTTATAACCTTTTGAACTATTGCCCTTGTTTGATCCTTGATATTTCCAAAATACATTTTTCTCTATTTTCTTTTCAACCACACATTTTTCAATAAAATAATATTCCATGCAAACCCAAAAGTTTTCCTTATTTTTTAACCACACATTTTCCATCAATCTATTATTCCAAAATGCATTCTTAGAATAAAATGGGGTTCAAACAGGCCCATTATATTGAATTATCTTGAGGCTTACACCTTACTTCTCAGAGGCAAGCTGCCTCGATACCCATATTTGCATTTTTGAACACTGGATCAAATGGAAACAATTTTGCACAGGCACATAAGCACTACTCAAATTGGATGACAAATCCTAGTCAATATTTTTTGAGCTCAGAAAATGTAGCCTTTGAGACAGAACTCAGACATACAAACTCACCTGTCAAAAGTGCAATATCTTGCAATATAGCTTTCTTCCCGTCCCCAAATCCTGGACATTTTACCACAGAAACATTAATTGTACCTCGCATTTTGTTCACAACAAGAGTTTCCAGCACTTGGCTTGAAATATCTTCAGCAATAATGAGTAGAGGAACACTCAATTGGGTGCTCTTTTCCAGCAAAGGCACAATATCTTTCACAGTTGATATCTTTTGATCAGTCACAAGAACTCTAGCATTTTCAAACTCCACTAGAGATTTATCCTTGTTTGTAATGAAATGAGGCGACATGTACCCTTTGTCAATCTATAAGGAAAGAACGTCAGAAGAGGAATCAAGGAAATAATATAGCAGGAGGGAAAAAATTATATTTATATATAAAAAAGAAAGATAGGAATATTAATAATGCATTGCAAAAAAATGAACAGTTCCATTAAAAAATAACAATATCGGATTTGTCCTCAAATAATAAAAAGTGAGAGTATCTAGGCATTTAACTTTATAACTTTATAGCTTTATTACTAACTCAACGATCTACAAATATTCATGATGGATATAAAACAGATTAATAGATCAAAGGAAAAAAAATCCAATTCTTTCGCCAAAAGAGACAAATTTATGTCTTAACATGTTCAAAAGATTGACAGGACTCAAAACATGCCATACAGCAGTAGTTTGACTTACATAAAATGTAGCAATAAAAAAGGGTTGATCATATATTCACACTTCAACGTGAACCCGGTTGATCCCAAATAGCAGCTACAATATAATTTATATAGTTTTTTTCCCAAGGATAAGAAAGAACTCCCTATTCAGAGGGGTAAACAATTTACCTTCATTCCTTCTTCAATCAGAACAGAGGTCTCAGATGACGAGGAAGATTCAATTGATATTACTCCATCACGGCCAATTTTATTAATAGTTTCAGCTATTAAATTACCAACATATACATCATTCCCTGCAGATATTGAAGCTACAGCTGCGCGCGCACACACACAAAAAACGATAAATTGTCGATAAATAGAAGTCAAAAAAATATTGATGTAATTGTGGATTAAAGATAAGTAATGACACCTTTTATGTCATCTTTCCCTTTCACAGCAAAGCTTTTCTCCTTCAGAATTCTGACCAATTCTTTTACTGTTTTATCCATTCCTCTTTTCAACGTAGCCGGGTTAGCCCCATAAGTGATGGCCAACAACCCAGCTCTAACCACTTCTCGAGCCAAAACAATAGCAGTTGTTGTACCATCACCGGCTGAATTATTTGTTTTAGTTGCAACCTGCAATATGTATGATAGAGAAATGTAAACCAACAGCGAGCTAAGCCTTGTCCCCAGTAATGTTGGGTTGACTACATGAACCGTTTTTCAAAAATGATAAATACAGTGGAATCTGCACAACAGGAGATTAAATTTACCTCTTGGATTAGAACTACTCCTGTATTCTCGATTGCATCAGAAAGCTCTATGGAACGGGCAATTGTAACACCATCATTAATCACTTTAAGTGTTTCCGATTCTAAAAGAACCACATTTCGTCCTGCATGCTTCAAAGTAACACCAATAAACTTTTTCCGGAAATAAAACAATATTAATGAAAAGTTAATCCATAATACTAAATTCAATCCTTGTGTTAATACATTACTGAAGAGAACTGCCAACACAGCATTCTTTCACATTAGACATCTTAACAATAAAGAAAATTCACGCAGCACAAATCTTCAAGCATTTGTACCTCATTTCCAGAAACGGATGTAGTTTCAGACTTCATCGGGCCAGATTACGATGTGCCAGATAAAGGTAAAACCAATCGAGATAATGTACAAGAAAACCAATTGTACCAACCCAGCAAATAAAAATACAGAAATACCAAAATGAAAAAAACGATACTCACAATCGAAAATGCTCACCTCTAGGACCCAGGGTTACAGAAACAGCATCAGCGAGCTTATTGATGCCAGAAAGTAAACCCTCTCTGCATTCTCTGTCAAAAGCAATTCTCTTTGGCCCAGCCTTCACCACTAACGGTTTCTTCTTGATATTAACAGTGCTTCTCTCCTTTTTTTTTCCATAACGCATATAGATTCAATTTTTTTTTCAACATCCTAATAAAAAAGTCGAAAAGAAGATACAGAAAGAAAGAGCAAAAAACAACGTTTGACTTACATGAAAGTTGGTTTTTTGATTGAAAAACAGAGGTGACGAAAACTGCAAAGACATTTCCGTCTTAGCTACTGCTAGTCCTGGGGTTTTGAGGGGTTTTAGGGCAGAGGAAAGAGGAAGAGGATTTCAAAGGTAACTTGGAATGTTCAGTATCACAATTAAAACCCGTTTTACAGTAAAATTGCATTTTGAAACAATGATTTGAGTCATTTGATGGAAAATGTGTGGTTGAAAAAGAAGGAAAAGTTATTGATGTGATGAATATATTATTTTAGTGAAAAATATGTTGTTGAAAATGAGTAGAAGAATGAAAATGAAATTTTTAATGTAGGTCAAACAGTGGCTTGATAGAAAATATATTCTTGAAAAATAATTAAAAAATTTAAATTTTCATAAAATATTATTATATTAAAAATGGTGTGATTGAAGATAGAAAAGAGGAAATATATTTTGAAAATGATGAGATGAAACAAGAGCTATTAATTTTTCTTTGAATAATGCTACTTAATTGAGTTATAGGTAACTTTTAATTTTTTTAATTTTTTTTTTATTGAAGAAATTTGATCCAATTATATTTGAAGTATGATTATGTATATGTGGCACAATTATTTTTATAACCCTACTTGGTGTATCACGTCAGGGTGACAAACACCTTGATCGGCCCCTCACATCAGGGGGGTTCTACATTTTTTTTTCAATTTTTTATACACGTGGGGGCCAGCATCATGTGAGAGTGTGTCAACTTTTTTGTCAGATTCTTTTTGTACAAGTAGCTTTTTTGTTATTTTTATTTTGAAGAGAATTACTATGTGTACAAGGAATTTGTACAGACTACATTAGAGGATCTATATGGCAATTTTTCATTGAGTGCTGGGCAGAAAAAAAAACCAATTATACAACGTAGCGGCACCTGTAAATCAGTTTGTACAGGCTTAATCCTTTTTCTCAAATTTATTTTTAATTATATATTGGGACAATAGAATAATTTTAGACATAGAATAACAATTTTTCCTATTTTTCATCTATAATAAATCCCTCAAAATATTATTGAAAAGGGGATTGAGTCTTTTGTTCGCAGCCTTTGGCTGTTGTTTTACTCGACATGATTGAAGTGTAGTTCTTTGGTTGATAATATAATAACTAAATATCACCAAGATATATAAAATAACAATATCTGCACTCTATTGCATTAGAATCGATTTTTCTTGTCATGACAGGATCAATTCATAACCATGATGCCCAGTCCTTGAACAATAAGCAATGATAGAGGAAGAGATTAAGTCTCTGTTTGACTCACATTAAAATTTTCATTCTCATTCTTGTACTCATTTTCAACTACACATTCTTCAATAAAATAATATTTTTCTTCACATCAATAACTTTTTTTTTTTTCAACAAAACATTTTTCTTCAATCTACTATTTCAAAATACATTTTTCCAAAGTTCTGCCAGAAGTTGTCCACAAGTCATTGCCATTTCATTAACTAGGAATTTTTTATTTACCAAATTCAACAAAATGAACGTCAAGGATATAAGGGAATCAAAAGAGAAATATTGGATTATGGTTAGAAAATTGTAAAGCCTTGAGTACATGTTTTGGTGCAATTACTTTCCTATAATCCCTATTACAAGCTTCATTTGATTCTGATTAAACACGATTAATAAACTCTGCAACAACAAAAACACATGAAAATCTCACAGAAGACTGAAATTTAAACAATATTTAACTGCACATGTTAGCTCACCTGGTAGAGGAATAAATCAATGCAGTAATCACAAATACTAATACTCCTAAAAGTACAGAGCGTCACAAAAAGTTAAGACTTGTTAGGCATGAACAACCTGAATATTCTTGGCATTGAAAAGAACAAAAAAAAGTAAACTCTACTACTCGTGATAATAGCAGTTCATATATCATCTAATACAACACCATAAGATGTTGAGAAGACAAATCATGACAGAAAATAGACAGGTACGTAAAAAAAAAAAACACTTCATTCTAAATACTCCTTCCTTTGATATGAAATAACAAAAGATGGAAACTTTAGAAACAATTATATTAATTAGTAACCACATCCAGAAAATATAGTGCATGAACCTCAAAAAAAACATTGTTTGAATTGTTTCTTGAAATTTAATGCAAACTTATAAATATGAAAGAGATAAGAGAAACCACATATGTAATCAATCAGATACAAACATCCGCAGTCCACTTACAAAATGAAAAACAATAGAAGCAATCAATCAATCATACTTAAGCTATTGCCGTTGTCATTTCCTTTTCTGTGATAGAAGAACCACAATGAATTCTTAAAAATTTCAAAGCAAGAAAAAATGAAAATACATACTTACACAACATTCAATGAAAAGATCTTGAGCATCTCTTGCAACACGAACATCAGGTGGGAGCATCTCTTTAATAATTTTCGTCATAGTTGCAGAAAAGATGTCATTAGCATCAGCGAACACTTTTGAAGACGACAAGATCATCAATTAGAACTCCATTATTATTCATTTATTCTTATTCACATTATTACTGACGTGGCATTACATGTATTGTCATCGGTTACTCTCAACCTCACCTTTAAATTTGTAAGTACTACAACAGAATTCCACCTTACATAACCCCTTTTTAGTCTTGTCAACAAATACTACATTATCGACTAATAACATACTCCAAGGCACCTCAAGAAGTAATCTATTTCATGACTAATGTGCAACAATAAGTTCTTTAATGAAAAGTTTGCAGCATACTTACATTGATATGAAAATCCCTGCTGTGTCCGAGAATATTTGTAAATTAAGGGCAAGTCACATTGAAGTCAACTTTACATAGAAACGAGTGAAAAACAAACCTTTAGGAAGCGAAGAATCCTCTTTTGTTCTACCAACAATATCGTAAAGGAAAACACATGCAAAGAAAAGAAATTTTTTTTCCAAAATTACTTGGTGCAAATAAAAGTTTCATATTTTCAAATTACTAAACCTGAACCAAACAACAAACATAATTGATTAAAATAAAAAATCAGAGACAAATATTAATAGTATCATCAAAACATAGCAGAGTACATCCAAGTAAAAATTGAATATTAACAAAGTCAATAGTGGAACCAAGAGTCAATATGGTTTCAAAATGTTATTTCAGTGAAAATGTTATTGGTATTAAAAAAAAATCCTCCGCTCTGCGCAGAGACACGGTGTTAGCGCTGTGCGGACACCGTGCGCGGACACGATCAACCATATATGAATAGTTCATAATGCATCAGAAAAACGTTGTTTAAGAATCAAAACAAAACGCTGCAGGAGAAATATCCAAAAGAATTAAGAGAAACAAAAAGTATGGGAATAATATAATGATACAAAGAAATATGGAAAACCAAATTGAATCAAACCTCAAGGAGACTCTTCGTGTTCCTCTCTTCTTCAAATCATTTCCTTAATTGACCAAATATAGCATCCAATCAGTATACCAAATGAACATGTAATTGAAAAGAATTAATATAAATGAATGGCTATATAATGACACATAGAAAGAGGGGGAAATTTAATACAAACCTCAATGAGGTGTTACCAAACATAATTGATTAAAATAAAAAATCAGAGACAAATATTAATAGTATGGGTAATTAGCACAAATCATCCCTATCGTTTAGGGTCATTGTGCAAAACATCCCTATCGCTTGAATTTTGGCATTTACAACCCTATTTCTTCCTTCTTTTGCAAAGTTAATCCTTTTCATCTTCAACATTTTCCCAACCGTTAAATATGTAGGTAGACTTGCTTAGTATAAGGGCAATTTTGTACTATTTTCAAAAAAGGTGATGTGGCAATGCAAGTTATGAATTTCTTGCCACCAACCGCCCCCTTTTACCCACCCACCCACCTACAACCCAACACACCACCCCTTCCCCTTTTTCCTTATTTATTGTCTCAAATTTCGAAATTATTACGTGAATGTTAAACGAAGTCAAAATATTGTATCCTTAACACAATTTCGAAGTAATCACATCCTAGTTTATCGCATTCTTAACCACGTGCGAAACGGCCAACCGTAGCAAAAGTTACCACTTGTCGAAATAGGCCATTCCAAAATATATAAATGTTTTTTTTCTTATTTTTATCTCAATTTTCGGGGTTATTACGGGATGTCAACGAAATCGAAATCTCGTATTCTTAACACCATTTCGAGACAAATATTAATAGCATCATCAAAACATAGCAGAGAACATCCAAGTAAAAATTGAATATTAACAAAGTCAATAGTGGAACCAAGAGTTAATATGGTTTCAAAATGTTATTTCAGTGAAAATGTTATTGGTATTAAAAAAAAAAAATCCTCCGCGCTGCGTAGAGACACGGTGTTAACGCTGTGTTGACACCGTGCTCAGACACGATCAACCATAGATGTATAGCTCATAATGAATCAGACAAGCATTGTTTAAGAATCAGAACAAAACGCTGCAAGAGAAATATCCAAAAAAATTAAGAGAAACAAAAAGTATGGGAATAATATAATGATACAAAGAAATATGGAAAACCAAATTGAATCAAACCTTAAGGAGACTCTTCGTGCTCCTCTCTTCTTCAAATCATTTCCTTAATTGACCAAATATAGCATCCAATCAGTATACCACATGAACATGTAATTGAAAAGAATTAATATAAATGAATAGCTATATAATGACACATAGAAAGGGGGGGAAATCTAATACAAACCTCAATGAGGTGTTACCAAACATAATTGATTAAAATAAAAAATCAGAGACAAATATTAATAGTATCATCAAAACATAGCATAGTACATCCAAGCAAAAATTGAATATTAACAAAGTCAATAGTGGAACCAAGAGTCAATATGGTTTCAAAATGTTATTTCAGTGAAAATGTTATTGGTATTAAAAAAAAAATCCTCCGCGCTGTGAGGACACCGTGCGCGGACACGATCAACAATAGAAGTATAGCTCATAATGAATCAGACAAACATTGTTTAACAACCAGAACAAAACGCTGTAAGAGAAATATCTAAAAGAATTAAGAGACAAAAAGTATGAGAATA